AGGAGGAGGAGGTGGAGGAGGAGGAGGGGAAGGGGGGTTGCAGAACAAGCGATGGATGAGGAAAACATGACGAAAACCGAGGAGCAGCAACCTCTGAGTTTGCAAAAAGCCTTACAGCAGTGCGAGTTGGTCCAAAACATGATCGACTTGAGCATCTCCAACCTGGAAGGGCTTAGGACCAAATGTGCTACCTCCAACGACCTCACACAAAAAGAAATCCGGACCCTGGAGGTAGGTGTTGCCCACCTAAAAAAGCAATCCTTCCTTCCCTCCCTTCTCCCCTCCACCCTCTTCCTCTCTGGCTGTGTTGGCTGGGGGTCGGGAGGGGGATGGGCAAACCAGGTGGGCAGGATTGGGGTTCCGTGATTGATCTCGTGGCAGAGCCTGCCCTGGATGTCTCTTTACTTTGCGGCTGTTGTCTGTGCTGGGCTGGGTGGCGGTAGTAGCGGTAGTAATTGTTATTCTTTATTTATTATTACGGTTGCTGCTGTTATCATTATCATTCGCTTCCTCTGGGAGGGGGGAGTTCTTTTTTCCGCTTGTGGATTTGTTTATGTACCACGGGGGTTTGTGTGCTGGGTAATGCGTTTAGGAGCTGCAGAGAACCCACGTGACCTTGCGCATTCTGCAGGTGGTCAAAGGTGGTTTTTGCTCGCAGGATGGGGCTGCCCGTCTGCGGAGACCTCTTCTCGGCCTCCTTCCTAGCTTGCCTTTTGCTCGGTGGATCCTTTTCTTTCCCCTCTCCAGTAATATACAGTGTTAGGGAGCAAGATGTATGGAAAAATAAATCCCTGTTGAGCTATCTGTTTCCAGTACAATTGTTTTGCTGCAGTGAGCTGTTGAAGGCCTGAAATGTGTAAAAAGAAAAAATATTCATGTCTGGATAGGCACGCACAGGTGGCGTGGGAAAATCCTCTTGGATCGCCGTGGGACTTCGTGGAAAGGGGTCCGGGAGGAGGAGTTATCTTGGGCGTGTTGTAACATTCTCTCCGACTGAACTTGAAGGGGGAGTTTCTAGCAGGATTTAGAGATGGGATGGGAGTGCAGGGTGCCTGCAAAGTTACTCACAAAGAAGATGGCAGAGATTATTGCTCCCAAAGACCATTTGGTCGGAGGAAGGTTTCAGGAGCCTTGGAAAGTAGCTGGTGTTGGGCATCCACCTTGTCTAAAAGGTCTGGAGGATTCAATTCACTTTTTTCCCTCAAAATGGCCCAGCTGTTCACATGGCTAGATTAAATTTGGGACTTCCCACTGGCATTTACTCAGGGCAGTGGAAGCAAAGGGGTTTCCCCTTGGGTGGAGCCTGCACATGCCCTGCTGGGAAGTTCATCCTGTCTCTGGCCTGTGCATTTCCAAGGCCTGAACTCTTCCATCCTTACTGAATGTTGTCGTGTTCTAGGCTGGGTATCTCCACTCGTGCATTTGACTCTTCCGTTTTTCTTCCATGGTTTTTCATTTGGCTGGATGTCAACGTGCAGGAGATCATCCTTTTGAGTGGTGTGTGTGTGTGTGTGTGTGTTTGTGTGTGTGTGTGCGCGCGCGCGCGCGTGCTCTTGTGTATTTTAATACGGTTTGCTACCCTGGGATATATGTCTGTGTGCACCTGTCATCTGGGAACGTGATCCTCAGAAACGAAATAAGATAAATGTTGCAGGGGACTGGGAGAGAGTGGGAAGTGTGTTGGGAGGTACAGGTGTTGCCTTTCTCAGAACTCTAGAGAGAAGGCTCGGCTAACACTTGGCTCCTGGAGGAGTCGTGGGATGCTTTGGCCCAGTCCCTGCTTCTGTCTGCACAGCGCCGGAGAGCAGCTTCTGTTCAGAGCTGCACGTTGTTAATCATAAATAAACAAGACCAAGGCCTTGGGGTCAGGAATCCCCAAGACTTGTTTGTGTATCACTGTGTAAGGTTCTCTAAGTGGTCTCTTCCTCTTTTCAGACACATCCCATCCTCTGATAATTCCCGGGACAGTGGTGATTGTTGCAGTGGGCATAGTTCGGTTGTTTTCTCTCTGCAGAGTGGTTTTCCTTCTAAACTGGAGGATGGAGGCACTGCAATGTATCTGTTTATATCTTTGGTCCCACCGTGCCAGAGAGAATGCCAACTGCTTTACGCATATTGCCCAGGGACAGGCCTGGAACAGCTATGCCAATATAGATGTCAAAGATCTCCAGGGCCAGGGAGGGACCACTGAGGAAGTGCAGGTGATATGGGGTCAAGTTTGGATCCACAGTTTTCTGCCTCAGCAGGTTTCAAGCTTTGTATATCAAAGCTACCCCAAGGCACTACTTAAAATGCAGATTCTCAGCATCTAACCTGTGATTCTAATTCAAGTTGGAATTGGAGGGAGGGCCCAAGAATCTGCATTTAATAAACAGTCCTCATGTTTCTGATTTAAGTTTTCATATGGACACTTTCAGAAATACTAATCTATTAGGAGATAGATATCATATTTCAGCTCTTCAGCGGTAAAAACTCCCTGCTTGTAAACACTAAGGTTAGTAATAAGTGGAATAGATGGTCCCTGAAAACCTTGATAGTAAGCAGTGTCTTCTTTTTTTTTGAGACAGTATCTCACTATATAGTTCTACTTGGAGTAACTATGTCGCCCAGGTTGGGCCTCAAACTCACAGCAATCCTGCTTCAGCCTCCTGAGTGCTGGGATTACAGGCGTGCACCACCATGCTTGGTTTATGTGTCCACTCTTGTAGAATGAAAACATGCAACTTGGCTTTCAAGAAGCATAATTCATGGATGAGAGGCAAGGTTAAGAATACCTCTGTAAAATTACAATAAAGTCTAAACAGTCCATGTTATAGGACACAGTTTATGGGTCCAATAGGAATGTGTTCAGCTGCAAGAAATGAAAAACCCAATGGAGGGAAGCAAACGGTGGCTTCTTTTTCTCACGTGATAAGAGGTCTGGAGGCACTGGGCTGCTCAAGTTGGCCATAATTCTGGGGCTGATGTCTTTAGGACTTCTCTTGGCCTTTCCCTTATGGTTATAAGATGGCTTTTGCAACTTGAGCTGTTACATTTGGGTTTAAGGTAGGAGTGTGAAGGGGTGGAAAGTTCATACTTGTGGTTTTAGAAAACAAAGATTTCCCCAGGATACTTCCTCCTCCTCACTACACTAGTGATGTTTAATTATGTGTTCTTGTCCTGAACAGGATCAAATGGCTGGTCCTAGCTGCAAGGGAGGCAGGGAATAGGGAGGTGAGACTGCATCGTGATCCACTGATGTGTTGCCACACTCTAATAATCAAGTTGTCCTAGTTTGGAAGTAGCATGTGTGAATACTGGATGGATGGCCAGTAGCGTTGGCCACAGGATGCTCTTGGTGGAAAAGAAAGTTAATGAGCTTTGGAATTTGACTATGCAGTTTTGAGTTCTAGCTTTTTTACTTTTCATCTTTTTAGTTTTTATTTATTTACTTTTTTGAGACAAAGCTTCATTATGTCGTTCAGGCTGGCTTTGAACTTAGTATATCGCCCAGGCTGGCCTTGAATTTTTAGCAGTCTTCCTGCCTCAGCCTCTTGAGTGCTGAGATTACAGGTGTGCACAAGCATGACTGGTTATTTTTTAAAAATAAAAATCTTGGGCTAGTAATTTAGACATTGATCCATAATTTAATTTTTTGGGCAAAATGGCAATCATAGAATGATATTACCTTCCTCAGGGAGAGGTAGCAAGGAGAGATGACACCTTTAAGGACCTGGCTTTAAGCTGGACACAGTGCACGCAGATGCTAAATAGGTGACACCCATGAGGATAATGATGGTCAGCATGACAGTGTGTGGAGTAGATGATGTGGAAGGGGTCATCTCTAAGTAGAGGGAGAGAAAGAGGAATTTGAGTGACATTTCCAAAGCATGTTCTATAGAGCCCTAATCCTGTATGGTATTAGCATTTTTCATTTTTAAAAAAATGCATGCTAAGTCCAGGCACTGTCCTAGATGCTGGAGATCAAGAAGTGTTCTGTGGACCAAACAAATTCTCTGGCTAATGAGTCTGGGAAAATTTGAGTTAAGCAAGAGGGAAACAGGTATTTTTATGTAGTGCAGGACTTCTCAGAGCCTTTAATGTGCCATATATGTGCACTGTGCCTTTGAGAGAGGGAACCCACAGTGTTCTCCTTTTCCAAGTCTTTCCCTTAGCATCTTTGTTCCATAGAATACACTGGGGAATAATTTGGCAAAGCAGTTAGGGAAGCCTTCTTGATTGGGGGCATGGGGATTTGGAGTGGAATGAAGAGTGGAAGATTTAGACTGTGGTAAAGCAGGAGAGCCTGTTGGACCCGAGCAGTAAACCAGGGGGAGGTTTTATCACGCAGCTGTGGTAAAAGGTTGATCATGCAACATCAGGAGGGTTTCTGATAGTGTGGCATAGGAAATGAAGTAAGTAACTAATGCCAGGGGTCCATACAGGGGAGTCAGACTGACCAAGTATTTTCCCTTTGAGAGAAGAAGTAGAAGTCTTCAAAAGTTTTGGAGTGGATGCAGTTTAAAAAGATGGTTAAAAGTTAGTCTGAGGACAGTCTCCCGCAGGGGCTGGCAAATTGTTTCCGTAAAGGACCAAATAATAAATAGTTTATTCTTTGTGGCCCTAATGTTTCCATCACAGCTCCTTGACTTGTACTGCGGCTCTCAGTAGCTATGGACAATACAGATACGGATGGGCACACAGGTTGTTTTCCAATAAAACTTTATTTAGAGGCTCTGAACTTTGAATTCATCTTCACATGCCATGAAATACTATTTTTCTTTTAATTTCTTTGACGTTTTAGAATGTAAAAAAAAAGGATTCTAGTCTCTGGACCTTCTAAGAGTGGGTCAGATTTGGCCCAGGGCTACAGTTTGCTGATCCCTGGTTTTTAGGGTGCATGTGACGGGAAAGACCTTGGAGGACAGAGACCACCTGAAAGGCAAGCGAAGTGTCCCTAGACCTGGAGGGCCCTGGCTGAATGGAGGTGGTTCTGAGCTGGATTCTCTTTTGGGAGAAAAATATCTTGGCTTGGGGTTGGGTGGATAAGTATGGAATCTCATATAGCAAGGATATTGTAACTGTGCACTTATCTACTCTGCTTTTTTTTCAGCTTTAATTGAGTTATTGGTACATTTTAGGGATACAGTACAGTTACATTCATTGTTGGGATCTTGTACCTCTACATGACAGGTCTTGGTTCTCATTTTTTCCCCTACTCTGCTTTTTTTATGTTGCATCTCAATGTCTTT